TAGGCATGCACCTGGCTGTGGTTGTCTGATCCCAGAGCTCTTTGCTGCCCAAGGCAGGGGGTCGGACTTGATGATCTGCTAAGATCCCTTTCAACCCAAACATGTAATAATCTATGAAACCCCTCTATATTTGGTCTGGTGATCTTTTTCCAGACCATTTCTTAGTCCAGTTGCAGCTCCAGGATGCTGATTTCTTTGCTATAACCAGGAAAAGAGAACACTTTGATCTCCCTGGGTAAAGACTGAAGCATCTAGCAAGGGAAGCTGTAGAAGTGTGGTTGATGGAGAGGCTGCCATGCAACACACTTGCAGGAAAATGAATGAGAATGGTGGCTGATGGCTTTTGGGATGATTCCCAGGGCTGTGAAATAAAGAAAATGTCATCCACGACATAAAATTGGACCTGTGACAAAACCCCCTGTAAACACTGGGTAATTACCCAATGTTCCTACATCCTTTATTCTTTGCATAGACTAAATCATAACCTATCCTATCCCCATTTGCTTTTTGATGGGAGAGAGAGAGAGAGACATGAACTAGGTGAATTTCAGCTTCCATCAACAACATACAATACAGAGGGGCAAATAGAAAGAAATTGTTACATAAATATGAAATATACAATTATTTTCCAATTAATGGTGACTATAAAGGGACTATTTTACTATTTACTATTTTATCTAAATACTTATTAAGACAGATATATTTTAATCAGTGCATGAAAATATATAACTGCATTCTGCTTAAACATGGTGAAAGGACTTCAAATCTAAAATGGTCCAACAGCAGTGTTTGAATAGAGTATTAGATAAAACATGGGGACTATATTGAACAAAACATGACTTAATCTTTCATATTTCAAGCTGCAAAGCTAAAGTAAGTTTAGTCGAGATAAAACTAAAGTAGTTAGCTAGAAAATAGAGACTGTATATGTCTTATGCACGTCCCACAAATTTATGATTAAGGAGGAACATCTACAGAGCAGTATTATTTTTCAGGCCTTCTTTCTTACTCTATAATATTACCACAGTGCTGTTGCTAATGCTGACAGCAAAAATAGGCACAACATGCTGTGGAAAGAATAAAAAGTTAACAACAAGATCTAAACATCAATGTGGAAGATTTAACTATAAATCAATTTACTCTCTCTTCTTTTTTTACCTCTTTCCATCATTGTTGATAGGGGAATAGTCTAAGAGTTGCTCATGTGCACACAGCAAATTGTGAATATTTGTACAGGTAAATGTGATCGAAAACCAGTCTGGACCTATAACAGAACATGGCTGGCATGCAAAACAGGTTTACACCATAGCAGAACAGAAGTTCAGTGCACAGACTGGTTTAAAAATGGTGGAGTACAGTCTAAGACTTGCCCCCTATATCCAAGGGCAAATGTGTATCCTGTCCACTACCAATCTAAACTATGCTGCTTACAGAAAACTGTGCAACTTAGATTGATTCCATCTCAGGTTTTTTGAATGTCTTAGTTTTTATTTCTAAGGCATTTTCTCTAAATGACCTGTTATTTTTAGCTATGTTCTGAACCCTTTTCATTTTTTCAGTGTCTTTTTAGAATGTGGACCCCAGAATGGGATACACTAATTGTAATGGTCTCACCAATTCCTTATAAGTCACCTTTCCATTCCTCCTTCCTAATATATTCAGGGACTAAATTTAACTCATTTTTCAGCTGCACTATACTGGAAAGCCCCATTCAATTACTGATTCATTATGATCCCTAAATCATTTTCAGAGCCCCAGTTTTCAGGGATGCACCACCCTCCATGCAGGGGGCTTGTCCTACATTCTTTCTTCTAAAAAGTCCTTGCATTTGGCTGTTTAAAAAAAGCATTTTGTTTGAATTGATCCAGCTTACCAAGCAATCCAGGTCATTCTGTATGATTGCTTTGGCTTTAGAATTATTTAGCACTTCACTAATCTTTGTAATATATTTTATCACCAGCAATTTCATTATTTAATTCTAGGTCAGCATAAGAAATCTGAATAATGTGTGGCTTAGAAACAATCCCTACAGAATCGCCTTTCAACACACACATTCTATGATTCTCATTTAACAGTTCGTTTTTGAGGTTTGGGTAATTTTTAACCCATTTAATGTAGAATATTGTATAATGATACTTTTTAAAGCACGGTACTATTTAGTACCTTGCAGTACTAAATCAAACAAAAGTATATCACCTCTACAGGGCAACCTTAAGGCACAACCTTGCATTCATTTCCATCACTAGAAATGTTTCTGGGAGGGGGAACAGTACAGACATTCATCCTGCAACAGCCTTCTTTCTCCTGATCCTCATGCCTTCATAAGACCAGGGTGATCATGGTTTGGAGAAAGCATGGGGAGTATTGGCTGCTCCAGTCCTCCCATTCTGGGGAGGACTGAAGCACTTCCACAAATCCCCTACCTGCTCCTTAGACAGGGGACCATACTGGGAGGAGAGTGTAAGAGTGTTCACAAGAGAGACTGTCCAAAGTCAGCCCTGGAAGATCTTCTCCCTGAAGGAATTTGTTTCCTCAGAGAGAAACCGAGTGAATGCTTGTACATGTGTCATTTTTACTGGAAGAACCATGATTCTCATATCAGAAATGTAATGCCTGTGCACAGCCTTCATCAACAAAACTTATAATGACACTATAAATAAAATCAAGTGCATCTGACAAAACCTGCTTCCCATAAGGCTGTGTTGACTGGTGTTGATTATCTTATCCTTTGATTCTTTACCATATGACTCAAGTATCAGTTTTCCATTATTATTATTTCCATTATTTTCCTATTATTTTTCAATTTATTAGTTAAGTCAGAGTAATCAGCTGCTAATCACGGGGCCACCCCATTTGCTTTCTTTGGATATTGGCATAACATTAGCATTCTGCTGGTGCTTTAGAATTTCTCTGGTATTTATTAATTCACCCAAATTATTCAAACTTAGCATCAGAAGGCAGGAAGTTATTAACTATGCTTGCTTTTTAAAGAAAAAATCTATCTTGGGTAGATCTGAGATGTATTTTTTGATGTAGAAACAGCAAAAAATCCTCATGTGATACAAATACATCATCCCACTTTTCCAAAAATGAAACAAAACAAACAAACAAAAACAAAGTGAACAAGTCTGCCTTTTCTGCGTCATCAGCATCATCACAACCATCTCTATGTAATATGCCTATGTGGTTATAAGGATTCCCTGTGTTCCTGATATACTTAGCTATATCCACAGCCTCAGAAGAAGTGAGAAAGTTAAATTAGTTTGATCTAAATTGAAATATAATAGAAATAAGATAAGTAGCATATTTACTCAAATATACGAAGGCCCCGAATCTAAACTGACCCCCCACCTCCCAGTAATTGGATTCTATATAGAAAATGTATATATTTGTAATATTTTCCAGGTATAGAATTTAATTGAGTTTCCTTGGACTTGTCCCTCTTTCACTGATACTGATACAGCAGGGAAAATAAATCCAAGGGTCAGATGGCCCCTTTGCCCCCACCAAATTCTTCCCTTTTCTCTCCTTCTTACTTTCAGACCTGTACATGGAAGCAGGGCTATCGCACTGAGGGGGGAGGGGGGGCGGGCATGAATCCAGGCAACTGTCCCAGGCCTAGCACTTTGAGATGCCCTGCAGACAGTGTCATACAGACCCTGCCACGCACTGCCAGCTCCGGCTGCTCACCCACTCCCCCCACCCCATGCTGCGCTCTGGCCACTCACCACCCTCCGGCCCTGCACAGGCTGATATGCCGTGGGCCCCACACACCCCTAGGGATGGCTCTGTGTGGAAGTGAGAAGCAAATTCGAAAAAAAAACTGACCTTGAAATAAACATACCTGTAGTAATGTGCCCTACAGGTAGGCATAGACTTAGTTCATCCAGAATGGATGCATTTTACTTTTTTTGGAAACTACTGCAAGTTTTACCACACTTCTAAGCAGCACTTCTGTACCTACTTATATATAGAACAAATTATGCATGACATTAGTCCAAAGCCAAAAGGTTCATGATTTACCGTATAGGCCACTGGACTGGGTTCCAGCAGAGATAACAGTGTTTAAAGTTATGGTGAATCCACAGCTCAGCAGTGCTCTGTATGTGTGTACTCCAGATACCACCCACAAAGGATCCATATGCTAATTAGCTCCCCATTCATGGCTGAAACCAGGTAGCCCTGTCATGAGTTATGGGATCTTCCAAAAATTTACAGGAAGATGAGGTACAGGGCAACCTGGTTTGGCTCCACCTCATGTAGGGTGGGGCGACACTAATCATATGTGATAGGGTGAGAGAGGGAGCAACAGAGGGATTCTCGGTAAACTGTCTGGGGCCCTGGTTGGTGGTGTTTGCCAGATATTTAGGGCTGGTGAAGGAAAAATGAATCACTGGGGGGGAAGGAGGGGGAGAAAGAAAGTTGCAGTAAAACTATGGGAGTCAAGAGGAAGTCAAAATGTATACAGTGCAGTGAATCACCATGGAAAAAAGAGTCAGCACTGAGAGCAATGGGCACTACCTTCTATCTTATTCAGATGGGTTATAGCAACCTACCCTTTGGTAGTTCCCATCAGCACTTTGGCACTAGGGAAGGGCGCTGGAGCTTGCTCTGGCCTCGCCAAGTGCTGCCCTGGTACTACAGTACCTCTGGGCCTGGTGTTCATTTCCTCCTGGGCCACAAACACACACGGTTCCCATCAGTACATTTGTGCCATGTGGGCTATGTGTATTGTTGGTTTTACTAAGCTAATGCTGCCTTTAGCAACAGTTTAATTCTAGACAAAGTATTTAATGAGGTTTCCTTGTATGCAAATGTGAGAAAAGGGCTTTTTCCCAGGGGAAACCTCATCTTATATTCAAGTAAATATTGCAACTAAATGGAAGTAAATAAGTAAATGGAAATATAGTAGGACTACCAATGAATCAGTTTAAAATAAAATAAAAAATAGTTCTTACTTTAGTTGGTGAATTAGAATGATATAATCAGTCATTTCTTACCAGTGTGAACATTGTCCTTGTGCTTTTTTAGAGCATCTTTACTCTTGAACCTCTTTCCGCAACTATCAGCCTTGCATATGAATCTGGCATCCCCTCTGCAAGCCTCTTTGTGCTGCTCATAACTACATTGGGTAACCAGCAAAGAAAAAATAAAATATGAAGAAATACCAACAAACTTGACTGTAAGCAACTGTTTGCTCTGAGCTTAACACATGCCATATAGCAGATTTCCACACCTCTTCATGCATTACTTACAGCGGGTAGGAATGAAAGCATCTGACTTCGTTCACTGTTAAGATTCACATAAACTAACAAGCTTGCAAGCTAACATGCAAAGGGAAGCCAGCAATGATATGATAGCAGTCCAGTAATTCAGACACAAAACCTCAGTTCTGAGCTGAAGGAGGTATTGCACACAGAACACTGAAAACTTCTTGAAGAGTCGCCTGGATTGACATTCTCTGTGCACTGGAGAACACTAGGAGAAAAGATAAAATAAATGACAAACATCCTATAAAGAACAATTTGACTCTGCCAATTACAAAATATAGGCCTGAGCCTACAGATATGTATTACTGAGTATTTTTACTTATGTATATAGAATGAGTTCATGGGACTACTCTATTATATAAGTATTTGCAGTTTGGAGCTATAGTAAATTGTTGAAATGTATTCTCTGTTACAAATATTTTATTTTGCAAGATTCTGCAAGAATCCAGCATCCCCACTGTATGCATTCTTAATTAGATACATTTTGCAAGATTTTTTAATAAATTTAGCTAGCAGCCAATCACAAAACAATCTCTAAATTAGGATTAAAAAAAAGAGAGAAAAGGGTTTTGCTTCCATTCACTTAACTGCCTCTACAAAAAGCAATTTCAAGAAATCACATTTTTCATAAGCACTTAATAGTATTTACTTACAAGTAAGAGATAACAGTTTTAGAGATGATTATGATTTTACTTAAATGAATATGTCTACATAGTGCTATGTAGTATTATTGTGCTCTTATCCAGTAGTCAGATTAAATGCAGTATTCTCTGTAACTAAACATACATTAAAAAGCGATTCATTCATTTAATCTATATTTTAATTTAGATAGTAGCATCAGATATAAGTACTAAAATACAGAACAGTATCTATTAAATATTCATAAAAATAAAGTATGCTGCATATGACTTTAATGACAAAATCTGATATTATTTTTCCATTTCAGCCTTCCTAAAGTCACAAATGATTAAGCATTAATGATCCTTTTTCATTCCAGCCAGGATCTCCAAAAAATACAGCAACTCAACACATTCAAAAATTAACGTATTGAGTAAAGTATGAAAGATTAATTCAATCCCTAAGGGCAGAAAACAGCTCACCTTTTAAATCACAATACTATTAGAAAAGAGGCATGGACTTTGTAGGCACTTGAACAAGAAATTAATTATATGGACTAAGGCAAATTACTGATTTAAAAAGTTATAGAAAACTTTCTTATTCGTACGCACTGTCTTTGTAAAGCTTGTTTAACTGGGAATTTCTTTCCACAGTTCCTGCACTTGAATTCTTTCTCTTCACTGGGCTTTTGATGCAAAGTCTGAAGATGCTCAGCTAGAATCTCCTGGCTGGCAAAACTGGATTCACAATTTGGGCATGCGTGGTCCTCTTTACAGCTCAAAGAATCTATATGATTGGAAAGAAAAATAGAAGAGAAATAATTTCCAGTAACTGATATTTCTGCTTAATTTAAAATAAGGTTCTACTCTGAAAAGGTACTATGTTAAATGCCATAATCAGATTCACACTTTTTGTCCCTGAGGACAATTAACAAACTCCAAGTTAATTTAAATTGTTGCCTAGAGTGGAAAGACAACCAGCTCTCCCAGAGTGCCTGCTGCAATTGATGTAATGTGATGGGGAAGCTATTAATAACATATTAGTATTAATAACGTACCAGGGGTACACTGGTATAGGAGTGGATCCTGGTAGTGTCTAAATTGGTGGTGGTTTAACTGTAATTTTTCCCAGAGTAACAACTCCAGATTGTAAAAAGTTGCACCACTATAGGGCTATACACCATAGATCTGTTCCCCATTTAAACCAGTGTAGAGGTGGGTTCAAGGGTATAAAAATGTTGCATGTCCAGGCCTTCAGCCTGGATCAATCATTCCAAATATATTCACATATAACACGATACTTTTTCATAGGCCAGTACTACAAGCAAACTGAATTGTTTCCTTCATAGTTCATCATCATATCAATTAAGGTTCTTCAGCTAAAAATCTGACCACATTTATATTTAAGTAATCTCATCTCTCTTCAGTATAGTTGCACATGTATGCAGAATTTGTTCAAAATGCACCAAGAATGAGATACAGCTCACTTTGCTGCGGCAGAATTGGCATTGCCACAGTAGCAGAAAAACAAACTAATTTGCTCCCGAATTTACCAATGTTGACTCAGTGCTCCTTATGAAAAAAATTTCAGCAGTATATCATTGTGAAATGGTAGTTTTCTATTCTCTTTGCCTGATGGTAGTGAGAAAGAAAGGTACAGCAGGGAGGGTAGAGATGAGAGACAACATGGTAGTAGGCAATTGTCGATCCTTTGGATCACAGTGTATACATAAGTGGTCTAGTCAGATGCCTGATGAATCCATCTGTGGCTCACATACGCAATTCAAGGGCGACAGTTTGTTAAGTTTCACAGATCCATATGTTGTCTAGATGGACTCCAAATTTGCAGCATGCTGCTTTATCTTCTCTCACTTTGCTTCAATCTTCTAGATCAAAGCTGCTTCATGTTGAGCTGCACTCAGTGCCAGATGTTCCCTCTAGGTCAGACAGGATTCTGCTCCTCTCAGCTTTCTACACTGATGTTGAATGACTTCATATCATTTTTGTACACATCGTGGTACCATCATGGAGGGTGACCCCACTTTCTAGACCCATCTCAAATCTCGCAATTTGCAATATGCAATATTCTTGGAGAAAAGGTCTTCCTCCCATTCTCATGACATGGTCAATCCATCGCAACCGCCTCCTCTTGATAGTGGTCTCTAAGGGTCAGCCATGCATGCTTCAGTACCTCTGTGTTTGGCATTTTGTCTTCCCTCTTTATTTTCAGGATCTTGAGCAGAGATCTCATGTGGAAGCTGTTCAGTCTCCCAATAAGCCTAGCATATGTAGTCCACATTTCTGAACCATAAAGCAGGGATGACAGCTCAGAAGTCTGTTAGATTTGCATCTTCATGTCAGCTGATAGTTTGCTGTTATTCCACACGTTTCTGTAATAGCTTGAAGTTCTTAGCTGCTTTCCTGATTCTGATAGTCAGTTCAGACTGAAGGTCAAGATTCCTGTTGATTGTAGAACCCCAAACTGTCAATGACACCAAGAGATTTATCCTCCAGAGTGACATCAGGTATTGGTTCTTTCACCCTTTGGTACATGATCACAGTCTTTTTTACACTAATTGCCATCTCAAAGCTCTTGCATGATTCAGAAACTCTGCCCAAGAGATGTTGCTGGGAAGATTCACTGTGGGCAACCAAGGCCATGTCATCTGCAAACAGGAAGTCTCTCAGAAGTAGTTCTTCACCTTGGTTTTTGCTCTAAATCTTGCAACGCTGAGCAGCCTCTATCTAGTCTGGTTCAAAGATAAATGCTATCATTGCTGCCTTTGAATGCATGAAGAAGCAGGAATGAAAAATATATATTAAAGAACATGGGGGCTAAGACACACCCCTGTTTAACCCCACTGCTGATGTCAAAGGTGTTTAATTCTTTGTTTTCATACACTACAGTTGCCTTCATACCTTGATGTAATGAGCAAATGATGTTCCACAGCCTGGGGGGACAACCCAGCTTCTTCAGCACAGTAAAAAGGCCCTGTCTGTTGATGGTATCAAAGGTTTTCATTAAATCAATGAAGGTTATGTACAGTGGTATTCATTTTTCTCTACACTTCTCTTGCAGTTGCTTGACAGAAAATATCATATCAATGGTGGAGCATCCTGAGCGAAAAATCACATTGACTTCCAGGATGGATTCCTTCACCTAGAGATCGCAGCCTACGGAGCATGATGCTTGTCTCAGTCATTTCTATCCCCTTTGTTTTTGTATAAATGTACAAACCAAGCATCTCTGAAACTTTGTGGTACCACTTCCTCTTTCCAATAGAGCAGTATAACTTCAGGAAGCTTTCAAAGTAATTTCATTGTTGGCATGTGTAGATTTCCATAGGCAAACAGTCATTTCCAGATACCTTGTTCTCAGGAATCGATTTAATGCCTTCTGCAAATTTTCTAATGTAGGCTCATTGTCTAAATCCATCATAACTTCAAACTGTGGCAATCCTACAAGCTCTTTGTGTTTGATTTCAGTCTCAATGGAGTATAATTCCATAGTGTTCAATCCAACACTAAGGTTGTTTTTGTGCATCAGTAATGACATTTCTGTTTAAGTCTTTCAGAGGAGGAGCTGTTTTCTTCTTGACTTGACCAACTGCTCATTTGATGCCTTCATACATTCAACAGCTAAAACCTGCATCAGGTTTTCTGAATATCATCATCAGAGTTTCAAGCCATAAAATAACTTGGGCACATCTCTAAGCCTCCTTTTGCATTTCTCTTTGAGCCTTTCTCAGATTGTTTAGGTTATGGTATTAGAAGATTTCTTATAGGTGGTTAGCACTGTCCTTTTGTTCTCAACAGTGGTTGAAGGGTTTGAGAATGCTCTCCAAACTAGTCTGCATTTTTCTTGTATTTCTTCCAAACACTGTTATAGCAGCATGGTACACGTAAGTTTTTAGGCTTCATCAAGCTTTGGTGGTTGTGTTAAGTGAAGTTGCTTTCACAATTTCTTCATTAAACAGTTGACTAGACAGAAAAATGCAAAGTCTGCATTTTTCTGTCTTTAGTTTGGCTGATGTTTATCTGAGGATGCCTGGTAGTTTTTCTATGGTGGATCTTTTTTAAATTGATTCTGACTTTACTGCAGACATGGTCAATGTTACAGTCAGCACTGTGATAAGACCATATACGCACGATTACTTCCAGGTGGCTGCACCTGGTCAGTACTAGAGCTAATTGATGACAGTGCCCTGAGCTTGGATGTTTCTGAAATGTCTTTCTTATGATTTTCCCAGTGAAGTAAGTGTTGGTAACACACAGATTTTGACTTGTACAAAGTTTTAACACTCACTGGCTATTTTCATTCATATTACCAATTCTGAATTTGCCCAGAATATCAGGTAAATTCTCAAAACTACATTCAAGTCTTTCATTGAAGTCACCAAGTATTATAACGGTCTAATTTCTGTGAGTTTTCTCAATCTCTTCTTCAAGATGCTGGTAGAAAACATTCTTGTCTTCATTGCTAGCTTGAAGGGTAGGCACATAGACACTAAACATGACATAGCCAGTCTGTGTATGCATTCTGAGCATCATGAGTCAAATAGGTACAGCAATTGGGCTTTCACAGAAAAACAGTAAGCTGTTTCTAAAAGCAAAACCTACTCCCTGCTCTCCTTTCTCCTGTTGGTTTCCCATGCCAAAAAACAATGTAATTATTCTCTTGGATAGAACCTCTACCTGAAAGTCAAGTTTCTGCTAATGCACCAATATCAACCCCAAGTCTAACCAATGCATAGATTGGTAGTGCCATCTTCCATAAGTCTGAGTTCAAATCGAACCTAGGGGCCTGAAGTCCATATATTCCAGCATACAAGTCACTTTATCATTTTGCTATTATAGATCACACCAAGACCTTCAGCACATATGCCTAGACAAGAGTAGTGGAGGCTGCTCTAGGCCTACCATCCCCGCTTTACACCATCAAGACAGAATCTGAAGGCCAGACCAAGTCCAGATGTTCAATGCCTCGACAGTTGTAGCTTGTCAGACAGCAACAGATTAAAGTTGTTGCTGACTGTTTAATGCCTCAGTGAGGGCACATGTCTGAGAGACAGTGTATGCATTTAGAAAATGAGCTGATATTTCACCTAAATGAGCTTTACTCTTGGATAACTGTCCTATGCTGCAAACTGAAGGAATAAATCAGTCCTGTGGACTTTTTAGTGATTTTATGAAATGAATAACCAAGCACATACAAACATATTGCTGACACTAATAATGAGTCTGAACTGCTATAACTTTCCTAAACTAATTAAGAAAGGAACACTATAAGGATCAAACTGAGATCAGGGCTGATGATTGATTAAGTAGATTAATGAGTTCAAATTGCCAAGTCACCAAACTGATACAGCAGGTAACAGAATCAAATCATGAGGCTGACATAAAAAAGGCAGCTAGGTTACGTGCATTCAAAAAGCCTGAGGTGTAATTGATCTGTTACGTGGTTTTCTGTAAGTGGTGTAGTTTAGATCGGTAATAAACAGAACACACATTTGTCCTTTGGGGGAGGGGAAAAAGGGGCATAAATCTCAGGCTGGATTCTGCCATTTTAAACCAGTCTCTGGGTGCTGAATTTCTGTTCTGAGTATAGACCAGGTTCTAATCACTTATACTGGTAAAAGTGTAATGTCTGTACCTGGCTAAATAGTTCATGGCTAATTCTGCTTTAGCAGATTGCATGAGGAGCTGTCTTCCTCTAAATTAATAATCCATTCAGACTTCTAGCTAGTACAAGGGCCTCAAACTGGTCAGCAAATAACCTAACTGTATGTTCTGATATGGTCATGAGGTATATCTATGTGGCACACTGCAAAACAGTACATACCCAGCTCTAAGCAAGGTACTTTGAGTCCTAGAAGCAGTCTACCTGAAGTAATATCAAGCTTCACATGAGCACATTAACGTGAATGGAGCACTATGCTATCATGACAAGAGCTTTGTTTCCCATTAATTCATATGTCTCGACACTACACTGTACTTAAGCATCTGTTGGTAAATTAGAAGAACACTCCTTTTCCACATGGTCTTGCCCTTTATATGGAAAATGTTATACTTTGGGGACCACCTTTGTACTTGGGGCCAATTACATAGTCCATATCTCTGGATACTAGCATTATAGTCCCAAACTCTCACAACTTCAGGACTTAGAATAGGAATTTCTACAGTGACCAACATGATCATCATCTTACAAAACCCACTGTTAAAAGTGCATAATAAATGTTCTTCAAAAACAGAAATGGGAATGTAGATGGGGGCCCTGCAACAAAAGGTATATGAACTACTTCTACCCTAGAGACAGAGTAGGGCTATAATCTCAGTATTAAAATAATTTCTGATTAAAATTTTCCCAAACCAAAGTCATATGTAAGCCTATCTTATATAACTATATAAAATGTAAATGGCCTCAGTGTTCTTGAAATACACCTCAAATCCATTCATCTTCCCACTAATGAGGTTTTTGTTCCCTTAGTGATTGCTTTTTAAACACAAAACTATTTATTTGTGTACCTTTCTCGCTAGTTTGTTGTAGTTCTTTATTGTTGTTACTGTCTTCATCTTCTTGGTTAGGAATCACTTCTTCCTCCTCCTCTTCTGCTTCTTCCATATCACTGTCAAGGTAACCAATCAAAAGCTCTGTATCTGTGTCTATATCCTCAACAGCCAGATAGAAAATGTTTTCCCCTTCCTGTTGCAAAAAAATAAGCAAAACCAATTGATCATCATCATATAAACATAAAAATCAAAGTTAGATTCAAGGATTCTAGGGGCAGAGAGCAGCCTCAAAGCCAGCTTTGCCAACCACTGAAAGATTCAACTGACATAAGTGTTTCTACAGGTGATGCAGTCCTAAGATATCTTTCCAGGTCTGGGGCATGTGCAAAAAGTGTCCTCCCATTTTAACAATGTTTGGAATGCCCCTGATGCTGCTCTAATCTGTGCCAGAAAACTACGCCTACGATCAGCAGCTCTTCTCCTTTTGTTGAAAATACCTCTTCTCTCATTTTCAGGCCACATAAAGGCATTACATCTGTACTGGGAGAATCACTGCTCTCCAAGTAGAAACTATGAGCGTATAAGTGTTAATTCAATTTCTTCAAGGGGGAAACATGCCCCCTCTGGGAGAAAAATCATCCATATGTCAACATGGAAAATCTCCCTTATGAGAGACAAGGTTCTTTGGGTGAATCAGATATCTTATATTAGACCAACTTAAATAGCTGGAAAAAAAATTTCTTGGCAAGCTTTCAGGTTTAAAAACCTTTTGTCAGGAAGGGATTTTAAACCCAAAAGCTCGCTAAGAAAAAATGTTTCCAACTATTGGAGTTGGTCTAATAAAAGATATCAGATTCACCCAAGAACCTTGTCTGCCTATGTCCTTAGACCAACATGGCTACAACCTACATTCCTTATGAGATAAACCCTTGCAAGAATGAATGCCTAGATCTTCCCCCAGCATAGTAAAAAAGTCAGGGGTGGGAAGTAAAGCACACCAAACAGTGGAAAGTGTTAAAATTAAAACTTATGCAACTTTAATTATCTGTATGTTTGTAAGCATCCTTCTCCAAAGGATCTACCTTCTTGTTTTCAAACAGGCTTTCAGTTCTGATGAGACTTACTGCAGAATTATGACAGACATCCTCCCAAAGCTCATGATAACACACTTAAAAGAGGGCTTGACGGTCATATGGTGTAAATCAGTGCAGCTATGCAGATTAATACTGACAAAAGGTCCAGCTTAGTCACTGTCTAAGATATGCCATGCATCCCTCCCTCCCCCTCCACTACCCCAGTCCAACCCCAGGAAATACTTCTTCAGAAGCAACCAGAACAATCAAGTAAACTTCCAAATAGATACATGAGCTCATTGCTTTGTGTCCGATGTTTACTTAAACAGATTTAAAAAATAAGCCATTTAACAAAAACAGCTGTCCTCTCAAAAGCTGATGTACTAGGCTGCCTCTTCAGCTGTACAGAAGCCAAGTGCTTTGGGTGCTATCAAAGCAACAAAGGAATCATATTTACCTAATGAAGACTTCCAAGTGCTGTCATAAATCTTAATACTTATCTGATTAACATCCAGTGAAGTTAATTGAATCTCTTTTAGAATACATCTAGCCATATATTTTATAAAAATCTCATAGCACAGGGACAAGATAATGATTTTTAATTTTGTAATATGCTAAGATTAATTTAAACTGTCAACAGGCATATAGTATTTCGAATGCATTGGAAGGTCTGTAATATATTAAAAAAGTAATTTTCATACAACAGAGAAAACCATTTAATTCAATAGACTTGATAGCAACAGCAATCTTCAATGACCCACCACAGTTTTACCTGTACACCAATAATAGTCACTGAAAACAAAACTAATTACACATATCCTTCAAGATATATTGTGCAGCCTACATATTCATCTACAGACTATCCTAACTTTTGCAAACATCTAAGAGTTGCTGCTTTTCATATGGCACTGCCACATGTTTCAGAGAACTTTAATGTATTACAGTATAAATAAAAAATAACTTACTCTCTGTAACTTTGATTTGAGGTAAATAAATGATCTCCCTCCTCTCTTTCTCAGCAGAGACTGGATGAAAAGATCAGTGAAAGCCCCCTTTATATCATTGAACAACACAGTCCTTCATAAAGAAGGACAATTCTGTGCATGTAAACCACTTGTTTTGAAACACAATAATAGAAAAAATAGGACTGGAAGGGAACTCAAGAGGTCATCTAATCTACATGACTAGCTCAAGGCAGAAACATCCCCGTCTAGATGTTACCAGTCAAATGTAACCTGTATTTAAAGGCCTATAGTATTAAAGATTCCACAAATTCCAGGTAATCTGTTCCAGTATTTAGCTGCCCTTATAGTAAGAAAGTTCTTCTTAATATCCAGTGTAAATTTATCCTCCTAAAATCCAAAGGCCTGTGCCCAGTCTACACAGGAAACATGCTAGTTTTAAATTGGTATCTTAAACACCTGACACAATAATGCAATTTCTGTATTTGGGCATGCACATTTTCCGACACAAAAGTGCACCAACCATGAAAAGTAAACCAAAAGGCAGTGGCACCCCATCCATATTAGTCCAGTCCCCATATGAGTAGTCCTACAGCAAAGTCCTATCCACATTATTACAGTCTCACTGTGTTTGCTCTGCCCGTGTGTATGAAGGCATATTCTTTTGTTCTTTGTGCTGAAGTGTTCTAGGATTCTTTCCCAGTCAACTGCAGAGGAGCGTGCATGTTTCATATGGGATATTATGGAAAGGACTTTAGAGGACTTTCAGCCCTCAAAGGCTAACATGGGCTGAAACTACACTGTAAATAGATGTGTGTGGTGCCTCTGACACTACAGACTTGAACTCACTAAATGTTTCACAAACAAACTGGCTTTTTTCCTAAATGAAAATGGTTCAATTGAAAAAAAAGTAAATCTTTTTCTTCCATCTTTACCTCTTTCCTTTTAGTGGGCAGGGAAGATGGTGAAAAAAGACACTAATAAAATTCAGATGAGATTTTTAGACTTTTTTATAAACACTATTTTTCACGGTTAATACTTACATTTAAAAACCCACCGTTGTAGACACAAAACATTACAATTTCTGTTCATTTTTACAATTAGTCCAATTTCTTTGTAATGATGGTTCTTGGGGATGAAGTAGGTATCTGAAAAACCTTAATAAAAACAGGATTGTGTAATAAAATACTGAGTTAAATATGAATTCCAGATTTAAAAAAGAAAAAGATTTTTTTTAACTTAGGAATTCAAATAATCAGGATTTTTAAAATATATATGTTTACCTGTAGTTAGTAGGGGCGTGCAAAGTGAGCAGTATTCGATTCAGATTCGGCCTGATTCGGGGAACTGTGATTAGATTCGCTGATTCAGATCACTGTCCTGATTTGATTCGGCCGAGTCTGAAGATTCAATTGCGATCCAGACAATCAGTGATATGGCCATAAACACAGCTTTATATGTTTTTTCTAATACCTCAAGGTAGCAGGTGCAGCTCATGAAATGGTGGGCAGATGGAGTGTCCCATGGGAGTGGACCAGAAGTACTTCTGGTACACTTCCGGGTCTACCACCGAGCGCACGGGAGACCCTCCTCCCCCCACCAACACTCTCCCATGGGATGCTCCATCCGCCCCACCATCTCAGTGTTCACAAGCCTGGTACCTCGAGGTACGTAGAAAAAAACATGAAGCTGTGTCTATGGCCAAGTTGTCGAATTTCTCTGAATCAATTTGGAGGCTTCCAATTCAATTCGGAGAGATTAATGGGTCTCGTGATTTGATTCGGATTTGGAGATTCGACCACCAAATTGGGCCGAATCTCCTCTGAACTGCATCGGCGACTGAAGCTTCGCACAGCCCTAGTAGTTAGTATCATGCCACATTATTCTACATATCAAGCTCACACGAATGAAGCTTGTTTGTTCTGGCCTTCATAATAGGTGCTTTGTATTTGCCATATGACCTTTGTACTGTGGTCTCCTGCATATAAAATGGACAGGAGATGTCCCATGACAAGTTTAATATATGAGAATGAATGCCAAATTGTATGGCTTCTTCTCACCAAAGTTCAATACCAAAGTTCAACTGGGGAGGTGGGGGAGAAAAAGGACACGAAGGAACTCAACCCCTAAGAGGCACTAAAAAAAAGCATTTCTAAATCAAAGTCTTTCAGATTTCATTTCTGCAATGAAAATCTGACATTTTACATGGAAAGTAAAACCCATTTTGTGATTTCTATGTATCACTCCTCTCTATGGTTCTCTCTACTAGCATTCTTCCATATAGTTTGTTTGCACAATGCGCACACACTCAGTACAGTGGCTTTATTCCCCTCTAGTGGTGGCTGCAGCAAGACAAACCTGTTAAAACCTTGTTTAACTGAGAAAGTCTGGTAGCTCAGGTGGTAGCAACTCATGATTTAAAATCCAGAACGCCTAGGTTTCAGCTGTGCTGTTAATAACCAGCTTAAGCCTTCGTCTTCTAAAAAAAATCTGTCTTCTATTGCTCATGGACTTCTGGGTCCATGTAGAAATTCTATGTTTCTTACCAATCTTTGAAGTCCCTCACTTAGAAGTTGAATCCATTCTTTAAGAATATATCTATGCTCCCCTCTCAGCCATACTATTTGCTCTTAATGTAAATCTGGTAACTTTCTGATTTTTTGCATTCATATATTTCAAAAGTATGTTAACCAACATTCTAGTAAAATGTATATACCAGTTCTCATTCCATTCTCGGTTTCTAGAACTTGATAGATCTTGACATACTTTTCTGCCTTTTAAGAAAAGAACGTAATTTTTATTCCTGTTTTACTTTTGAAACTAAAATGAGACACAAAAAAACTCATTGAGCAGTGATTCTTAGTTAGGGTGCACGGCATCCCCGATGCCATGCAACGTTAGTACTGTTAAGTGCGCAGACATGATTCACAACTTAAACCCAGAGGGTGTGTCCAGCCAAGTGTAGATGTTTGGTTCCCCAGGGACAAATAGTAGCGGCTCACCTTGCACCACCACTACTTGTCCCCAAGGAATGCCTGTGCCAAGCGCACTTTGGCACACAGCAAGTTAACCCGGGTGGGGTAGGGGAAGCTGAGGCCAGTACTGGGCTGGCCCCAGCAGCCTTACCTGGGGTCCTGGGGACCTCCCAGAGCTGCAGC